AAAAAAAAAAAAAAAAAAAAAAAAAAAAAAAGTTTGAAGACATAAAAGAAACATATAAGCAAATTTGTAGGCTGTTTAGTGATCTCAAAGAGGATTTAAATAAACAGAAAGGACTTTACTAATAAAATGTTCAATGAGCTTAAAGAAGAAACAAATAGTAACCTAACAGAAAAACAAGATAATATAAGACATGGATAACTATTTGGTAAGTAATTAGAAATTATGAAAGAAAAAAAGCAAGCAGAAATGCAAGATACCTAAATTCAATAGACCAGACCAATGTGAGGACAGTGTCAGAAGACAAAGTAGATCATGAACTCAATGATACCCTAAAAGAACAAGACATCATGCAAGCTGGATTCAAGAGCACTAAATGACTCAGAAACAACCAATCCTAGAAGCACATGAATAAAGGAAAAATTTGAAGGTGATTCAAAAGGTATAAAAATTTATTCACTAAAATCATACCAGAAGATTTTCCAAATCTAAAGAAATAATTCAGTATTCAAGTACAAGAGACATATAGGACCCCAAACAAGCCACATCAAGAAAAGAACCTCTCTACAACAAATCATAATCAAAATTCCAGAAATTCAACAAAGGTAGAGAACACTAAAAACTATTAAGAGAAAAGACAGCAAGCAATCTATAAAGGCAAGCATATCTAAAATGACATGTTTCTTAGCATAAAATTTAAAAGCCAGGTGAACTTGGAACTGTTTTTCAAGCCCTAAAAGAAAACAATTATCAACCCAGACTACTAAATCCTGCAAAATTAGTCTTCAAAATTGATAGGGAAGTACAAACTTTCTACAATAAATCCTAAGAAACATATAACCACTAAACTAACATTGCAGAAAATGCTTAAGGGAATCCTACACAGAGAAAGGGAGGCCAACAGCACCAAAGATTCATAAAGAAAAGTAAACATCTAACTTGGGGAGTAGTTAAAAGAAAAAAAAAAAAACTGAGGAATCAGCACGTAAAAATAATGCAATGTCAAGATTCAGTAAATACCTTACTGAAAATCTCTTTTTTTTTTTTTGGTGCCAGGGATCAAACTCGGGTCCTTGTGCTTGTGAGGCAGGTGTGGAACCACTGAGCTAAATCCCCAGCCCTGAAGATCTAACTCTTAATGGCAATGGTCTTAACTTCCCAATCAAAAGATACAAACTGGCAGATTAGGATCAAAAAATAACATCCAGGGGTGGGGATATAGCTCAGTGGTGCTGCTGCCTGCCTGCCTCCCAAGTGTAAGGTCTAGAGTTCAATCTCTTGATAACAAAATATAAAAATAAAATAAATGACATCCAAGCAGGTATGGTGGCGCATGTCTATAATCCTAGCACTTTGGAGGCTGAGGCAGGAGGATTGCTGTGAGTTCTAGGCCAGTATGGGTACATAGTAAGTTCAAGGCCAGCCTGAATTATATGGTAAAATTCTGTCTCAAATTAAAAACAAACCACACACACACACAAATAAATAAAACCCTTAGGGGGCACAAGGAAAGCAGTTCTAAGAGAAGAAACAAATTTATAGCTGTGAATACACATGTTAAAAGAATGGAACAACCCCCAAATAAATAACCTAGTGATGCATCTCAAGTCATAGAAAAGAGAAAAACCCAAATCTGAAAATAGTAGAATGATAAAGATCACAGTGGAAATTAATAAACTTGAGACTAAAAAAGCAATCCAAAGGATCAATAAATCGAGTTGATTCTATGAAAGGACAAACAAAACTTGTAAACTCTTTGCCAAACTCACAATGAACACCACTGAAATCCAGAGATTATAAAAAAACTACTTCATGGCTATGTTTAGTGGTGCACACCTGTAATTTCACTTGGGAAGCTAAGGCAAGAGGATCCCTATGAGTTTGAGGCTAGCCTGGCTCCATGAGTTCAAAGCCAGCCTGACTACATAGCAAGACTCTATCTCAAAGAAACCCAAAATAAATAAATAAAACTACCTCAAAAACATGGAGAACCGAAAAGAAATGGGAGAAATTTCTAGACACATATGAATTACGAAAATTGAACCCAGCATATATAAAAAAACCTCAGTAGACCAATAACAGGCAGTGAAATAGAAGCAGTAACAAAAACTTTACCAAGAAAAGATCAGGACCTGATGAGATTCACTGCAGAATTCTACCAGAACTTCAGGGAAAATCTGCCATCAATATTCGTAAAACTCTTCCACAAAATGTAAAGGGAAGGAAAAAAAATGTAAAGGGAAGGAGCACTGCCAAACTTATTCTTGGAAGCTAGCATTACCCTGGTATCTAAATCAGACAAGGATGTAACAAAGAAAACTTTAGAGGGAAGTGGATCCCTGGGACCCAGCAAGGATCTGAAGGGAGAACTGAAGCCCACTGGGAGAGCAAATAGACACTTCAATGAAGAAGGCGGTGGCAAGCAGTCCTTTCTCCTTGAGCCCTGATTCACTGTGTAGGAAGGGCAGCCCCAATCTGCAGCACACAGTGACTACTGACAACCCCAGAGGCCTCCACAGAGAAACGCAGTAGAATGAAACAGTGGGTGCAGCGGACTACAGCGGCTAGTGAGTTATTTGAGTTCAGACATTCCCCCAGGAGAGGGCAACTGGCCAGTAATCATCTTGGAAAGAGGCCAACTGAGCTGAGAATTTACAGTACCTGCTGGCTGTCTCCATCTAGCAGCTTGCAGTGTCAGGGTGAGGCGGAACCAAGTTCAAGTCCAAAGGAGGTGAAGAGGCAGAGTTCAAGACATGGAAGCACACAGAGTGCTGCAGGCTGAACAAATCAGGCTCCAGCCTCACAGCCAGAAACTATCCTGAACTTCAGTGGAGCTAAAGGTGCAGGTTTGTTGGGATCATCCATTACTCTGCCATAAATCTATGGCTGGCTTACTGGGATTCAACACAGATCTGGGCTGTCTGCCCACACTGTTTACCAGTGATAGCAGAGGCACATCGTGAAGTGGATATTTTTCTTTTCTTTTGTTTTCATTTCTCTTGTTTGTTCTTTTCTTTATATGAGTGGGAACATTGTTCCTAGTTTGCTGTTCTTCTTCTTCTGTTCTTATTTTCTTTCTTCTCCCTTTCCCTCCTATCTTTACCAGTTTTCCAAAGTCACATAATCTTCCTTTGTCCTCCAGCCTTGCTTCTAATTTCTTCTTCTATTTCTCTATTTTTCCTCTTACCCCTTTTAAATTTTCTCTAAAGGTAAAATTCCCATATTGAGGGCATATTTACTGTTCACAGTAAATATGTGGTTTGTTTTCTGGTTTGTTTTACATTTTCTTATATAACCAAAAATATATATAATATAGTTCACTATGGTTATGGTAGCAAATCAACAGTTATCACAGTTTGTCATTTTCTAGGCTGTATATGATGCTATTGTTATTGCTGATTGTATTACCTTAGTCAAGGTGACATAAATTTTCTAATCAGTTGTTCTTCCTGGTATGCCAAGACTAAGATGCCAAAGAGTCATAAACAGTACTAAGATCAGTGGCAAAGAACCAAGGGCTGAGCCAAATAAGCAGCAACTTCTCATCCCCAGTAAATTGGAAGGGTAGGATCTTGCAACAGGTTTAAAACCCAAAAGCCTCCTATACCTGGAAGACATCTCTGAGAAGCAGGCATTTCCTAAGGATTCTGAATACTAGCAATAAAGCTACTTGCCATAAGCAATTTACAAGCACCAACCCTGAAATTAAACTAAAAAAAAAAAAAAGAAAGAAAATGAGAAGACACTTAAGCAAGATGCAACCCCATACGTTTTGCTCATCAAAGGTACCTAGGGACAATGAGATGGAACAATTTGAAAGCCACCCACGGGGAGGGACTCCCTTATGTGGTAACATCAGAAGTGACAAAGCAGATGAGTGAAGCTCTCAAAAAAAAATCAAATGGAAATAATTTCTCAGATAACTACAAAGATGGTGACTATAATGATAGACTTGGTAACTCTAGAGAAGATAATAGATTTTTTAAAAGATAGAGAAGCTT